GCAAGATTACAGGCATGTCTTGCTACTTCTACTTACACTTAGGTCACACTACACATACATGTACACGTTTATTTATACACACTCATCTGAGTTTTCTTTGATTTTATCTTAATAGTTCTTGGTCTTATTACTTTTCCTTTTATATCCATGGGGAAGTGGAATAAGAATCTTTCCTCCGTAAGCCATGCGTGTTGTAAGAGTCAACTAAAATGCCGGGAACAATGGGCAAGTAACCCCTTTTCCTGTAAAGATTACTAAAAAGAATAAGAAGAAGAAAATTGTCAAAGTGGGAAGTCTGAATTGTGCGTGGATGTTGTACAGATGATAAGAAAGAGATGATTGTGGATGTTATGAATGAGAAGAAACTGGATGTCTGGCTTTAAGTGAAACAAAGCTGAAGGGGGTGGGAGAGTTTCAATGGAGAGGAATAATGGGATTAGGTCAGGGGTTTTCAAATAGAGTTAGAGCTAATGAAGGATAGCAATAATGTTGAAGGATAAGCTATGGCAGAAAAGAGGGACTACAAATGTATAAATTCAAGGATTATGTGGAGTAAAATAAACATTGGATGTGAAAAGTGGGTTATAGTAAGCTGTATGCACCTGGAGAGAGAGAAGTGTAGAGGAGAGAGAGAGATTCTGGGAAATGTTGAGTGAATGCGTGGGAGTTTTGAATCAAGTGTGAGAGTAATGTGGTTGGGGATTTCAATGCTAAAGTGGGTAAAAATGTTATGGAGGGAGTAGTAGGTAAATTTGGGGTGCCAGGGGTAAATGTAAATGGGGAGCCTTTAATTGAGCTATGTGTAGAAAGAAATTTGGTAATAAGTAATACATATTTTGTGAAAAAGAGGATAAATAAATATACAAGGTATGATGTAGCACGTAATGAAAGTAGTTTATTAGATTATGTATTGGTGGATAAAAGGTTGATGGGTAGGCTCCAGGATGTACATGTTTATAGAGGGGCAACTGATATATCGGATCATTATTTAGTTGTAGCTACAGTTAGAGTAAGAGGTAGATGGGAAAAGAGGAAGGTGGCAACAACAAGTAAGAGGGAGGTGAAAGTGTATAAACTTAGGGAGGAGGAAGCTCGGGTGAGATATAAGTGACTATTGGCAGAAAGGTGGGCTAGTGCCAAGATGAGTAGTGGGGGGCTTGAAGAGGGTTGGAATAGTTTTAAAAATGCAGTATTAGAATGTGGGGCAGAAGTTTGTGGTTATAGGAGGGTGGGGGCGGGAGGAAAAAGGATTGACTGGTGGAATGATGAAGTAAAGGGTGTGATAAAAGAGAAAAAGGTAGCTTACGAGAGGATTTTAAGATAAGATAAGATAAGATTTCGTTCGGATTTTTAACCCCGGAGGGTTAGCCACCCAGGATAACCCAAGAAAGTCAGTGCGTCATCGAGGACTGTCTAACTTATTTCCATTGGGGTCCTTAATCTTGTCCCCCAGGATGCGACCCACACCAGTCGACTAACACCCAGGTACCTATTTGCTGCTAGGTGAACAGGACAATAGGTGTAAGGAAACGTGTCGAAATGTTTCCACCCGCCGGGAATCGAACCCGGGCCCTCCGTGTGTGAAGCGGGAGCTTTAGCCACCAAGAGAGTGGTGAGAGAGTGCAAAAGGAGAGCAGATGAAAGAGTGGGAGAGGCACTGTCAAGAAATTTTAATGAAAATAAGAAAAAATTTTGGAGTGAGTTACACAAGTTAAGAAAGCCTAGGGAAAGTATGGATTTGTCAGTTAAAAACAGAGTAGGGGAGTTAGTAGATGGGGAGAGGGAGGTATTAGGTAGATGGCGAGAATATTTTGGGGAACTTTTAAATGTTGAGGAAGAAAGGGAGGCGGTAATTTCATGCACTGGCCAGGGAGGTATACCATCTTTTAGGAGTGAAGAAGAGCAGAATGTAAGTGTGGTGGAGGTATGTGAGGCATTACGTAGAATGAAAGGGGGTAAAGCAGCTGGAACTGATGGGATCATGACAGAAATGTTAAAAGCAGGGGGGGACATCGTGTTGGAGTGGTTGGTACTTTTGTTTAATAAATGTATGAAAGAGGGGAAGGTACCTAGGGATTGGCAGAGAGCATGTATAGTCCCTTTATATAAAGGAAAAGGGGACAAAAGAGATTGTAAAAATTATAGAGGAATAAGTTTACTGAGTATACCAGGAAAAGTATACGGTAGGGTTATAATTGAAAGAATTAGAGGTAAGACAGAATGTAGGATTGCGGATGAGCAAGGAGGATTCAGAGTGGGTAGGGGATGTGTAGATCAAGTGTTTACATTGAAGCGTATATGTGAACAGTATTTAGATAAAGGTAGGGAAGGTTTTATTGCATTTATGGATTTAGAAAAGGCATATGATAGAGTGGATAGAGGAGCAATGTGGCAGATGTTGCAAGTATATGGAATAGGTGGTAAGTTACTAAATGCTGTAAAGAGTTTTTATGAGGATAGTGAGGCTCAGGTTAGGGTGTGTAGAAGAGAGGGAGACTACTTCCTGGTAAAAGTAGGTCTTAGACAGGGATGTGTAATGTCACCATGGATGTTTAATATATTTACAGATGGGGTTGTAAAAGAAGTAAATGCTAGGGTGTTCGGGAGAGGGGTGGGTTAAATTATGAGGAATCAAATTCAAAATGGGAATTAACACAGTTACTTTTTGCTGTGATACTGTGCTTATGGGAGATTCTAAAGAAAAACTGCAAAGATTAGTGGATGAGTTTGGGAGTGTGTGTAAAGGTAGAAAGTTGAAAGTGAACATAGAAGAGTAAGGTGATGAGGGTATCAAATGATTTAGATAAAGAAAATTGGATATCAAATTGGGGAGGAGGAGTATGGAAGAAGTGAATGTTTTCAGATACTTGGGAGTTGAGTGTCGGCGGATGGATTTATGAAGGAGAGGTTAATCACAGAATTGATGAGGGAAAAAAGGTGAGTGGTGCACTGAGGTATATGTGGAGTCAAAAAACGTTATCTATGGAGGCAAAGAAGGGAATGTATGAAAGTATAGTAGTACCAACATTCTTATATGGATGTGAAGCTTGGGTGGTAAATGCAGCAGCGAGGAGACGGTTGGAGGCAGTGGAGATGTCCTGTCTAAGAGCAATGTGTGGTGTAATATTATGCAGAAATTCGGAGTGTGGAAATTAGGAAAAGGTGTGGAGTTAATAAAAGTATTAGTCAGATGGCAGAGAGGGGTTGTTGAGGTGGTTTGGTCATTTAGAGAGAATGGATCAAAGTAGAATAACATGGAAAGCATATAAATCTATAGGGGAAGGAGGCGAGGTAGGGTCGTCCTCGAAAGGGTTGGAGAGAGGGGGTAAAGGAGGTTTTGTGGGCGAGGGGCTTGGACTTCCAGCAAGCGTGCGTGAGCGTGTTAGATAGGAGTGAATGGAGACGAATGGTACTTGGGACCTGACGATCTGTTGGAGTGTGAGCAGGGTAATATTTAGTGAAGGGATTCAGGGAAACCGGTTATTTTCATATAGTCGGACTTGAGTCGTGGAAATGGGAAGTACAATGCCTGCACTTTAAAGGAGGGGTTTGGGATATTGGCAGTTTGGAGGGATATGTTGTGTATCTTTATACGTATATGCTTCTAAACTGTTGTATTCTGAGCACCTCTGCAAAGCAGTGATAATGTGTGAGTGTGGTGAAAATGTTGAATGATGAAAGCATATTCTTTTTGGGGATTTTCTTTCTTTTTTGGGTCACCCTGCCTCGGTGGGAGACGGCCGACTTGAAAAAAAATAATATATATATTATATAATATATATATATATATATATATATATATATATATTATATATATATATATATATTATATATATTATTATATTATATATGATGGATCACTGACCAGTGGTAACAACCATTTAATGATTGTATGACCTCACCTCTGGTAACTACCCGCCTGACGTAGCTTACGTCAGAGGTGAGTGGAGTAGAGTAGTCAGTACAGCACCTCCTCTCTGGCTATAGAGAAGGTCTTCATTGCTTACTCATTTTAACTTAAATTGAGAAGCTATTGGTCTAGAGCTTTATTCTCTAAAGTGTCCAGAAAGTGAGAGATCTTGTGAAACTTTCACTGTACAGAAGTTCTCAGGTGTTAAGAGACTTCAAGTAGTCTCGGTCAACACACTAATCGTCTCGGAAAATAGAGACGCCATAACTTTATTGATAATATTTATATTAAAGGCCAATTCAGCTAGAATGAAGGTCATGGTAATTTATAAGTTGTGTATAAAGTCTGTGTTATATATAATTAAGAAAAAGGTATAAGTAAAATACGTTAAGTCAATAACGTTATCTACGTTATATTAAAAATTCATTTTACAAAGTTTTTCGATCTCCTTATTAATCTGTACACAAGATTAAATTATAAGAAATGAACCCTTATTACGATATAACTGGAGTATGATTATGAAAATCCCCTAGACTAACATCGCCTATTATTTATAAGGTTTATTGTAATACCAACAGACCTCTGGCTGTCTTCAATAGGGAGGTGGACCGGTACTTAAAAAGTCAGTACCTGATCAGCCGGGATGTGGTTCGTACGCCGATTTGCGTGCGGCCAGCAGTAACAGCCTGGTTGATCAGGTCCTGATCCACCGCGAGGCGTTGACACCCCCACCCCTGAACTCCCTCCAGGTATACTAAGGTATTATTATTGCCATGAAGATACCAAAGTTTTGCACACGAGTCATAGTCATTAACTTAACAGTATTGTATACCCTTAAAGTTTAAATTTAAGAATTATACATTAAGTTTATTTAGGTACAAGTACACAGAAGTACAATTATCACATATAGTGTAAAATATCTAAGATAACCCCAAAAAATCAAACTGACTTGTTACCACTGGGAGTCCTGGTTATTACGTTATTATATTAGCAGTTTGACTTGCAAGCGATTGACAATCTCTCCTAAGAATGAGAGCTCAAAAACGATAAAATTCCAAAGTTTTATTGAGGTGGAGAGGAAGGGACTTACCAAGGTAGAGAGGTGACTCTTGCTTGCTAACAGCATCGTCCAGGTAAGGGATGCCGAGTGTGAAGATAAGACAGCTGCCCACACCTGCAACACCATAGAGGGTAAACTTGTTGATGAAAGGTAGGCAGGGGACGAGGTAACAAATGGTTATAATCATAATCATAATTTTTAAATGGGTGGAACGGTAAACCAGTGGAAGGCCTCGGTCAAATGACCCGCGTCAGGAAACACTTGTCCTGTTTCCTGACAAACCTAACCTAGATATTTACTCAGTATTCTTTCCTGATAAATTTTCCTTGATCCACTGTAGTACTTTACCCAACCTACCAAGGAAAGAGGCTGCTGGTACGGTACAGTATTTGTTTTTCCGATTTCGTACCTGTTAAATACCGTTGTGGAAAATAATTTCCCAAAATTAAGCCGTATATTTTTTATAATGTAAATATACCTGATTAATACATTACTATTGTTCTAAAGTGTGTTTTAAAGAAGAGAACTGCCATGGAAGCTCTGCGCTGACGAGCACGGGGGAGACGCCATTGTTTTGAATGTGGTAAAAGCACGTTAGTGAAATGTGCATAAATTTTCGTCGCTCTAGGGGTTATATTGGGCTTAAAACCTCAAATAGGAGCCGAAATTGTTGGATTTGCAGTCCTGCATAACGTGAGCACTAAGTAGATGGACGGGACAGCTTCAGAACCCCAGCTAAGTCATGTCTATTTTGTGATGAAATTCTGGCCAGTATTTTCTTCATAAATTTAGGCAGGGGGGGTTTTGAGTATGACACACCGTAATCTCCAGACTAATTGGTGAGTCTTATTATTATAAATTCTCCTTTAATGTATATGTATTCACATTTTAAATTTAATATACAGTCCACATATTTATATTAATGTTTTTACCAGAATTCCTGGAGATGTATATTTCTTTTGAAATTAATATAAGTCCAGAGTGACTTGAGAAGAGATAGATTATAGTAGGTATCGAAGGAGGACATTTTTTCCGACCCAAGTGTCCTAAAATTCCTACTTGTTTCTGTAACCTTAATAAAGAATAATTATCTTTCTTACCATTTACTGGTATGTATCTTATGAGTTACATCCAGGTAAATTTAATTTTCCACAATAGTTGCCCATTGGTCTTGGATTGAACTGGATGTAATTAGTGAAGTCATTAATTAGTGAATTACTTAATTATATGTGAAATGACAGGAGGTGGATGTTAAGCTCACAAATTTACTTATGTGTTGTGGATTATAATTACTACAATAATAATTTTGCTAAGCTCAAGTGTAGCTAAGATTATTAATGTATATTTAAAGTTTATATTATAATTTCCTTACATGTAACTGCTAAGCTCAAGTAGCTAGGATTTATTCAAGGTAAGTTGTAATATTTACCTTTATAAAGTGCATAATTAAGTACATAATCAGTGTTATTAATTAAGTTGAATTTAATACATTGCATCATGGGTGAAAATGATGAAATTAATGTAGATGACAAACACATGGAATTTAGAGCAAAAAAATCATCATTGCAGGCATACAATAAATGTTTCGAAATAATTATTCAAGAAACTGTGAATATTGATGATTTAAAATTGTATTTAGATGCTTTAGGGAATAGATATGATTCATACAAATTATATTATAAAAAATATGAAGGAGATTTGTTAGTAAATTGTGGAGATGAGACAGAAATAAATCTTATGATTAACCAGTATTATGAATTAGAAGAATAGATTCTTTCTTGTAAAAGTCAGACTTTGAATAAATTAAAAGGTATAAACCAGGCAGTTAATCTATTCCAACAAATAATATGTCTTTGCCAAAACTCCCAGAATTATGTTTACCTGTATTTAATCCTGGAGAAAATTGGGAGGAGTTTTGGTCTATTTTTAAAGCGGCTGTGCATGACAGGAGTGACCTAGCCTGTGTAACTAAATTATTTTACCTCAAAGGACAGATAAGAGGAGATGCTCACATACTCATACAAGCCTTTCCCAATGTAGATGACTCTTACAGGGAAGCAGTTGACTTGTTGAAGGTCACTTATGGTAATATAGAACAAAGTAGGTTGGATGTAGTGAATTGCATCTGTGAATTTACAAAACTCCAGATCCACACTTACAAAAGGTTTACAGCAGTTTAGAGTTAAACTGGAGAGACTCTCAAAACTTTAAGTAATAATGTAATCTGAGGAATCAGACTGGTTAATGAGTGCATTGTAGAGAATAAATTAGCTGTAAAACGCCTGATTGACTCTCGAACAAGTATTACAAGGTTATTTTGGTCTGGAGGAAATAAGATAGGTCTTCAAGAATTAATTGTCAGTTGCAGACCAGCCTACAACTCATCTTAAAGATGCAACACATAATAAACCTCTGTGGTATCTGTTTCAAGTTTCACAAGCGGAAAAAAATTATTCCTAGTGTTAATATTCAAAAATTCATTTTCTAAAAAGTGTTGCATAGGTACCTATCAAGTAGGCAGGAATCTGAAATTAATGATTCTCCACAAGGTAAGAGGACTAAGTACTCTCCTAAGAGTAGCCAGTTAATATGAAATCGTCAAAGAAAAAAGAGAGATTGTCTCTCTGCAAGTGCGTTACTCATTTTTCTAGAATTGCATGCATACAATTCATGGAATGATAAAAGTTGAAAGATTGGAGAAAACTTGACAGATGTATCAGGTGTCTAGGTTGCACAATGTAAAGGATTGTCATGCCAAATTAACCAATGTTATCAGTGCACAAAGGAAGACACCATATATCATGTGTAAGGGTCTACTGTTGATATTGTTGATAAATATTGATAATGTTGACAATTCTGCACAACGTAGCTAATGTAAAAATTGCTGCTAATTAATAATGATGGTTTTGCTGAAGCAGCTTATCCTGTGTTACAGGTAAAAATTGATGATAAACAAAAACATTATAAAAAAATGTAAACTGCATTATTAGACAGGGATCACAACGTACTTGCATAAAATGTTTAATTGTCTTAATGGGATTGAAAGTAAAGATGGGGAGCATCCTATCAGCTCTTAAATTATCTGGTTTTCTCTCAGATAAAAAAGGGGCTCAATTGTATGATCCTCTGTTTTTATGTAACGTAGGTTAGGCAATGAGAGAAATAATGTTAATGCAGTAATTGTAGATAGACCTCCATGAGAAAAATATCTACAGTAGGTTTGTTAAAGCTACAGAAAGGACTTTCACCATAATGTAAATTTAGCACTTCTGGAGTAAATGATGATTATGTAGGCCCAAATAAATAATTTTTGATAGTGACTATTATGCCTCCTTAGTAAATGGGTATGGTAAAGAAATGTGTGTCACCCTGTTAAATGACTGCAGGAGGCCATGTAATGTATGGTAGGATTCCTCGTAATAATGCATGATCGAGGAAACTATAAATACTATCACTGTTGGGTCGTACTCATGAAAATCGAGCCCAATATTATTCTCCATAGAGGCTGGTGTTGAGCCAGTGCATAAATTGTGGGAATTAGACAGCACTGGAATAAATATAAATGAGGCAATGTCCAGACGATTCTTTTACTCAGGTACAGTACCTGAGAGATGTAAAATTTGAAATATGGACAATACTGGGTACGACTTCGTGGAGACTGAACATTAAAGAAATTGCCACTAATTACAGAATGGCATGTGGACAATTAAAGGCTCAGCTCCGCAAACTGAGTAAGACCCAGAATTGTGACTGCCTTATAATGATTATTAATTGTGGCAGTTAATTAATAAATTAAAGAAAGAGGTACCTCCTGAGCAAGCCAAATTTATGGTCACGATTTGCCACATCACGGAGTGAAGAAGATTCTAAGGACCACTCCTCTGAGGATTGTGTTTAATTTGTTGCGCAAAGTACAAAAAATGTCCTAGTTTAAATGACTGATGAACTGGTCAATCGTTGTCGGAAATATTAGGAGATATCTTATTAAATTTCAGAGTGAAAGCATTTTGCCCTTACGGCTGACATATGTAATGCTTTCCTTAAGAGTGGGTTTACAAGAGCTGACCGTGATTGTACCCGCTTCGTATGGACTGAGATCTCTAGTGGACCCACTTTGTCTTCTGAAAACCTTTCGCTTATAGGAGCGTATTATTGGTGCACATCCAGTCCGTTCCTACTTCATAGCAACGATAAATGCACACCTTAAACGTATGGGTTGTCCACTGAGTAAAGTATCGCGCTCGCATTCTCCTCTTTTATGTGGACAATTTCATGGGTGACGTCAACTGAAGAGCAAAATGAAGAGGAACTGTTAATGACTTTATGGAGAGCTAATAAAATAATGCAAAGTGCAAATATGGCCTCTGAGGAATGGAATAGTTAATTCGTCCAAATAAAGGACAAATAAGTAAAGTTTACTGGAGATAAGTGCAAAATATAGTAATGATTGGGATAACGTGGATACTGAGCGAGATTTGTTAATGTTAAAATAATAATTACAGTGTGCCAATAAATTAAATAAGAGAGTTTTGCTTGCTGAAGTTTCCAAATGTTTTGATCCACAGGCTTAGTGTCACCCCTTGATTTAAGAGGGAATTATTAATACAAGAAGCATGGAAGGTTAATGTGCTTGGAATGAAACTCTACCTGAGGAATTCATTAAAGGTGGTTGATTTAATTGGTGATTATGAAAAAATTCCAATGTTGGAGTCTCACGCCAGGCAGCCAATCCGATGGGAAAAATATTCTCCATATTTTTTTGTGATGCTGCAAAAATTGGCGTAGGAGCAGTTTGACTTACCTTCAGTGTAATAGTGTTATTTCTCTTATGTCTAATGCTAAAGTGTCTCCAATTACATCACGTACTTACCTCAGTTGGAATTAACCAGCATTTATGAAGGTGTCAAATTAACTTAATGATATAAGAAATAGTAGTTGAAGGAGATAAATATTGTGAACACTGTTATTTGGTCTGATATGTGGTATCGCTAACATGGATTCGTAATGGAAAACGCTAGAATTGTGTACGTACAAAACAGAGTCAATGAAATTAATCAGATGCAAGGAGAAGTATAATAGTTTGGTGTCAGCATATGTTAACATTTAATCATATACCTGGTGGAGGAGAATCCAGCTGATTTCTTGTCTCGAGATTTACCTTATTGCTAAATTTGTAAATGCTGTATCATGGTTTAAAGGACC